CAACAACCACACGCACAACCGCAACAACAACAACAAACAATATCAAACAAAAAAGACAAACAACAAACACAACAAAAACAGTTAACAAACAACAAACCGCAAACCGCAAACAGCAAGCAACAAACAACAGCCACAACGACCGCAACAACCACAACAACCGCACCAACCACACCATCCACATCAACCAGCAACAACAACGAACCAACAACAAACCAACAACAACGTCAACAACAACAACAAACCAACAACAACACACCAACAACAACAACAACAACGACGGCCAACAACAACAACAACAACAACAACAACAACAACAACAACAACAACAACAACAACAAACCAACAACAAACCAACAACAACAAACCAACAACAACAACGACGGCCAACAACAACAACAATCGCGACAACAACAACAACACCACCAGCAACAGCAACAACAGCAACAGCAGCAACAACAGCAACAGCAACAACAGCAACGACAACAACCGAAACAACAACAACAACAACAACAACCACCGCCACAACAACAACAACAACAACAACAGCAACAACAACAGCAGCAGCAACAACAACAACAACAACCGCAACAACAGCAACAACCACAACCGCAACGACAACAACAACAACGCCCACAACACTCACAACAACAGCACCAACAACAACAACAACAACAGCAACAGCAACAGCAACAGCAACAGGAACAGGAACAAGAGCTAGAACAAGAACAGGAACAGGAACAAGAACTAGAACAAGAACAACAACAACAACGGCAGCAGCAGCAACAACAACAGCACTTGCACCAGCAGCAGCAGCAGCAGCAACAGCAACAGCAGCAGCAGCAGCAACAGCAACAGCAACAACAACCACAACAACAACAACAACACTCAGAACGTTCACAACAACACCAACAGCAACAGTACCAGCAGCAGCAGCAGCAGCAACATCAGCAGCAACAACAATAACAATAACACTAAAAAATGTATGAGCAATCAGCAACAGCAGCAGGAGCAGCAGTATCATGAGCACCAACACCAGCACCAGCAAGAAACTAGAACAACACACAACAATCCACCAAGCACTGCAACTCCACAAGCAACAAACAGCCCGCAATATACAGCCACCACCTTCCCCAATGACAGCGCGACCGCAAACGCGACAACGACAAGCACCACAGCTTGCGCAACGACAGCAACAGCAACATCAACATCCCAAACAAGAGCAAGCAACGCACCAAGCAGCAAATGCAACAAGCCAAGCCGGCCTGGGAATTCTGAGGCCGGGCGCCCGCGCCTACACTGCCATCATCTCCGCTCGGGGTCCCAGGGATGGTTCTCAATTCACGAGCCGTGCTCAATTCTAAGCAAGCCAGGTGAAATGCCTTTTTGTTCAAGGATTTTTGTTGCAAACCGGTTCGGTCGACCCTATGTTGTTTGGCAGTGGGCTGTGACCTGGCTGCTTATACCCTTGGGTTCCAAAGCGACTGGCGCGTTCTGTCACGACTTGCAACGTCCAACTGCCCAAGTCGTATCGAATCACTTGTTTGGGGTATCCTCTGCCGGGAAGAAGGAGGGATCAAGTAGTACTCCCTGCAAAAAAAAGGAAAGTTTGCAGGTGAGGCTCAAACATATTTAGTTTCTTCAGAAGCTTCAGGCAAAATGCATGTTCCGCTCCTACTGACTGACCGCCCAGCTGGTCGACTAACCTCACTTTGCCGAGGTGTGCAAGCTGCCAGATGCAGCGGTGGGTTCCTCACGAGTGCGGAGCAAACGGAGAGAATCTATATACGTTTTATGACAGGAATGACGCATTGAACCGAATCATTCAGGTTCTGTGTATTTTCATATTGCCTCACAACCCTGCATAAGGTCTCATGAATGTTCTTCCCTCTCAGTCGGCAAGTGGTTTGTGGATGTGTGTCAAAACTAGGAATTGCGGCCGCGCCAGGGTGAAAGTTGTCGGTAGAAATGATGACACCAAGAGGGGATCCCATCTACTTTGACCCGACTGCAATTGTCCCCGAAATTGAAACATAACCATGTACCAGCAGGATGCCCAGCCCATTCAGGCATCAAGCTGCCCCGCAGGAATATTGCCGCATTGGTTCATAACCTTTATCCTGCGCTGAGTGTAACCTTTATGCCTCGAAAGGCAAAGACCAAGACTGCTTGCCGTCGACTTGGCACATCAGTTATATTGTATGATAAAGGGGGCCCCCCTTACCCCCCCCCCCCACCCCCCTAATTGTCAAAATGTTTTCCCAACCTGTTTATATTTTGGAGGGCCTGTCGGTTTGTCATCTTTGTGCCCTCTTCTGCGCTCGTCCAAATCAGGTCCGCTTTTCCGGGCCCGATTGTTGTTGAAAATGGCAATTTCCGAGCAAGGAATTTAAACAGCAATCATCAGAGACACGTTGTTGGATCTTTGTATTGGTTTAGCAATGGTTTTGTATTGGTTCTGAAAGGCCCCCCTAACACGACTAGAGTTGGGGACAGGGGAACTCACTGTTTTAGTATAAATCTATATATATATATATATATGTATATATATATATACATTATTCCCAGATATGTTTGTTTGGGAGTTTTGTAAATACATGATTTATTATTGGGGGGACCTTTGCAAGTAGAAAGGGATTAGCTCTTTGAGCTCTGACCTGAGCCTTCGATGGCTGGCAAGCTAAAGGGACATGCCCTTTGATCGGATTAGGATGATTGATGGCACCGTCCAACAAGCATCAATAAGTAGGATGCGCTGCGTTTGTTGGCTAAGGCGGGACTTGTTAATGAGTATGGTACCTGGTCATTGTATGGCATATGTCCTTTGAATTGACAGGGACAAAATCACTATAACCCCATTGTCTAAACACGACGACGGGGGATATTGCCAAAACAGACAACTATGTTGTTGCTCTCGAAGCAAGTCATTTAGTGTTTACATTTCCTGTTTTTGCTTGCATCACAAGTCATGGGCTGTAGGTTGAACAGAAAAAGCGTGTTCTGCCCTGCCGCGTCGGTTCTCCTTGTCTGCCTCACTCCGGCGGGTGAACAAAGTGAACTGTTTTGATGTTACCCTTCAACTGTCGCGCAAAACGACACCGAAACGAGTCCCAAAGGGGGCCGAAGCCTGCCTTCAACCCCTCACGTTCCATGAGCCTGGCCGGGAGATGACTGGCTTCCTCTTGAACTTCAAGGATCGGGAAACCAATCAGGTGGCAAAGTCGGGTCGATTTCCCGGCGATCGTTCTGTTCAAGGAGACCAAGGTGTCCTCAAATTGGGGGAACCTTGAGAAACCCAAATTTGAGGGTCCTTCTGCATACAAATGTGGGACAAGAATTAAACCGCTGGATGGTTTGGGGTTAATTTCTGGGATCTCAAAGCTCAAAACAGGTTGTGTCCTTTTGGTTGTCCGCTACCCAGGGGATTCTTTCACAAGACAAAGGACTGGTTTTTCAGCCGCCTCAGGTCTCCTGGCTTCGCGAAGCGCAAAGCCTGGGACATGCGGGGCTGGCCCCTTGTTGGGGAAACGCCGCAAGGTCTGTCTCATGCGTTTGTCTCAAAAAAAGTCCTGACAATGAAGGGTTTCCCTTGGATTCGTTTGCCTTTCAGACCTTTCAAACCATCCAAAAAGGGTACCCCCAACAAAAGCACGGCCAAATGGAATACTTTTGGGGCTAACACGGTTTTTGTCTCAAGACGGGACATATTGGTGTGTCTCTAAAGCACTTGGGACCTCAAGCATGGGAAGTGTCCTTGCTTCCCCTTAAAGTCCCAGAAAGGGAGCCCTCAACAAAAAGACACACCCGGTTTGCAGGGATTATACATTCACAACCCTCCGGTACACGGATTGGGATCCGTTCCTGAATCCCCGGTACAGTGATGGTTTTCACGACGTATCCTTAAGGGACCCTGTGTACCCTCCCCCAAGGCAACAACAGCTACCAGGACTTAGTGACTAAGTGTGGTCTGCTGCAGCGATGGTTCGATACTGCTGATGAGCAAAGTCCTGCACCAGTTGGGATGAATCCAACAAATGGGGTGAATCACCTAGCCGGTGCAACTTGTACATCCACAGTAGGGTTTGGGTTTATGTCCAGTTTGGGAACCACTGCAATTTGAGCAGAGAGCATTGCCTTGGGTTAGGACTTGGGTCCCCTTTGTAGTTGTTGTAGGGATGTTTGAATAGAAATGCCAAACATGTATTGGGCTATGTGAAGGCAATCCTGACGCCTTCCCTTGGGTTAGGAAATAAGGTTGCATGAGGTTGCCGTTGTAGCGATTTCCCATTGGGCATATATTGCGGATTGGCCAACCCTGAATTTGATCAACTATCTACAAGAAGAAGGTCTTGTACTTTGTACCTCTGTTTCCCTTGGGTAGTGGTCGGGCGGATAGTAGAAATTCAGCTTGTCCCTTGGTGATGAAGATGAGTTACTTGCAGCTCTGAGGTTGCCGTCCACTGTTTGGCGTTCAGTTCTAAGCAGAACCAGGAAGTTCAGCCCAAGCGCGGGCTCTAGGTTGAGTTCTGAGCATACATTCATTGCACTTGGCAGTTCAAGTACTTGTGGCACTTCTGTGATGTTTCATTTCCCTCTCAATTTGTGCATAGTCTAGAATTAAGACAGGAGTAGCAGTTCTCGCATGTTGTGGTTAGATGGACATGGCCAGCACCCGTATGAGTTGGACACAGAGTCGCCCAGATCGGGTTGCCCGGTTGCCCTGTTTGATCCCACGAGATCCCCCCACCCAGTGCCCTTGGTTTCCTCTCGCGGAGAGGCTCACTACCAACAAGCAACCACGGTGCCCATTTCCGCTGGGTTGGGAAAAGGTTGCAGCTAATTTGGATGATCAAATAGCGAGAGTGGAGCGGCCTAAATTGGATCCCGCTCCGTCACGAGGAGACCAGCTCTGACTAGCCTAGAATCGCGTTTATTACAATGATAGAATATGTTGCAGGCCCTCGTCAATTCCTTCTACGCGAGTGTGTGTGTGTGTGTGGATGTATTGCCTTGATCATCGCTCTCGGCAAAAAGGCTTCCAGGTCCTAATCTGCCAAGGACACCTTCACTGCTGCTGCTGCTGCGTTGGTGGCTCGGCTGCGTTGGAGGGACGATGGGACGACACGCTTTGAACGTGACTGAAAGTCGACCTCCCATTGGATCCCAATTTAAGGAGCCCTCACGCGGAGGCGCGGACTGGACGCTCAAAGCCTGACAGAACAGAGCCCTCCCTTTTCTTCTCCCTGTAAACGAGGAGGCGTATGCTCAAAGGGTTCCCCGTTTTGCGGACAACCCTCGTAAGTCGCAAGTTGCTTATTCTCAAACCAACACGGTTTGGAGGAGCAAGGACAGCTTCAGCGCTGCAGGATCTTAAGCTGAGTCAGATGTGTGGGAACTGTTCCCGTTTCTTTGAGTTGCACTCGCGAGCTTGGGTACAATGATCGAAAGCCATGACGGCTCTTTGAATTTCCTTAGGTCTCATTGATGAATGATCTTGATATTGGCAGATGAGTGTCCCAGGGCTTCACAGGGGTTCCGGCCCTTGCCCCTCACTATTCGTGTCGCTTCCTTCTCCAGCTGTGGTCTGCCAACCGCACCGTTTATGCGAATGGGTACTACATACATATATATATATATATATATATATGTATATTATGCACATGTACATGTATATATGTATGTATACATAGACATTACATGTCAGGGCTTTCCTTTCAATGGTCAGGGCCATTCAGAAGGTTTCACTCCAATTCATGTAATGGTTGGTGGGGCATTTGACCCGTGGTGCCGTTGCCGACAAACAGAAGTGGCACACAAGCTCCGACAAATCTGCGTCCAACCTACACAAGGCAAATGAGGAACGTTCAAAGATGCTAGGGACGACATGGGAGCTGAGCGCACGTTCATGGGATGACATGGTGCACACCATGTGATAGGGTGGCACAATGAATATTGGGTCCAACTAGTAAGTGGTAGCCCCAAGTTTCCTTTTGGTTTCCCTTGGGCTTCGCTTTGGCTTCCCTTCTAGGTCCCCCAGTAGTGGAGGGTTCCCCTACTAAAATAGACTACAGAAAAAAATAAAAACGCGTACCCTTATATATTCTAGGAGGACCTAGCCCTTGTGCCCAAAGGAACCCAAAGTCCAACCACGACGCGACGGGTCCAACTCCTTTGAGGTGAGAGCACGGCGCCATGAGGAGGCGCAGCAGCTGCTGGAGGAGTCCTGGCGTCTCAGCATGCCGCCCATGCCCAAGGTGTGTGTGTGTGTGTGTGGGTGTGTGTGCGTGTGCGTTTGCGTGTGCGTTTGCATGTGCGTCTGCATGTGCGTCTGCATGTGCGTCTGCATGTGCGTCTGCATGTGGGTGTGGGTGTGGGTGTGCGTGTGTGCGTGTGCGTGTGTGCGTGTGTGTGTGTGCGTGTGTGGGTGTGTGGGTGTGTGTGTGTGTGTGTTTGCGTGTGAGTGTGTGTGTGTAAGTGTGTAAAAGTGTGCGCGTGTGTAACTGTGTAAGTGCGTGTGTGTGTGCGTGTGTGTGTGTGTGTGTGTGTGTGTGTGTGTGTGTGTGTGTGTGTGTGTGTGTGTGTGTGTGTGCGTGTGTGCGTGTGTGTGTGTGTGTGTGTGTGTGCATGTGTGTGTGTGTGTGTGCGCATGTGTGTGTGTGTGTAAGAATGTAAGGGTGTAAGTGTGTGTGTGTAACTGTGTGTGTAAGTGTGTAAAAGTGTGTGTGTGTGTGTAAGTGTGTAAGTACGTGTGTGTGTGTGTAAGTGTGTGCATGTGTGCATGTGTGCATGTGTGTGTGTAAGTGTGTAAGTGTGTGTGTGTGTGTGTACGTGTGTAAGTGTGAAAAAGTGTGTGTGTGTGTGTGTAAGTGTGTAAGTGTGTAAGTGTGTAAGTGCGTGTGTGTGTGTGTGTGTGCATGTGTGCATGTGTGTGTAAGTGTGTACGTGTGTGAGTGTGTAAGTGTGAAAAATTGTACAAGTGTATGCGTGTGTGTAAGTGTAAGTGTGTAAGTGCGTGTGTGTGTGTGTGTGTGTGCGTGTGTGTGCATGTGTTTGTGCGTGTAAGCGTGTAAGGGTGTAAGTGTGTGTGTGTGTGTGCGAATGTATGTAAAAGTGTGTAAGTGTGTATGCGCGTGTAATGTTGAACCCTCTTTACACCACCACCCCCGCGCTAGGAGTGGAACCAATCAGTTGGCCCCTCTTTAAGCGAGATCCTGGGGGTCTGGGAGGGACAGTAATTACTGTAGTGTTGCCAAGAATGACCCTCAGATTCCCAGTGCTTATTTTAGTATTGCCAATTCTACTTTAGAACTGCCAAGGCTGACCCTCAGATTCCCAGTACTTACTTTAGTATTGCCAATTCTACTTTAGTATTGCCAAGGCTGACCCTCAGACTCCCAGTACTTACTTTAGCATTGCCAATTCTACTTTAGAATTGCCAAGGCTGACCCTCAGATTCCCAGTACTTACTTTAGTATTGCCAATTCTACTTTAGCATTTCGAAGG